AGAGAGAGAGAGAGAGAGAGAGAGAGAGAGAGAGAGAGAGAGAGAGAGAGAGAGAGAGAGAGAGAGAGAGAGAGAGAGAGAGAGAGAAGATGAAAAAGAAGACGAAGAGAGCTCCTGCAGCTGAGTGGGACACACACGAGGGCTATTTTTCAAGCCTCAGCCAGTGCACGGCCACTGTCCATGCACTTGTGCCTAGTACCTGGCCAATATCATCATAGGCCTACTGAAAGTCTCAGTGCGTGCAACAGGCTTTGGTAGGAAATTGAAATACATATGGGACCAATGCAAGGGTCGGTAGTTGGGCGAGCCCTAGGAAAGATTTGCTGCATACGCAGCTGGTCAGGCTGGTACTTGCAAAAAGAAAAATTTGGCCATGCACCAACCACAGGACCCAGTGCTGTGCTGGGCCTCTGTCTCCACCAGTTGGCTAACCATCCCACAGACATGAGTGTCACCATGCGCAGCCACGATTGTTGGTTGTTGCTTGCCACAAATGATTGGCTGCGATTCGTGGCCACTCTTTTAAAACTTGTCATAGGTCACTAATCACAATGATCGTACTTCCTCGTGCACAAACGCTCGCAATTTTGACCTAATAGCTTTTGGCAATTTTACTAGTGTCAGGGACCAACATCCAGCTAGTGCCATCAGCATTTCTGGATTGACTGAGCTGAGCCGAGGGATCACAAGGGCCAGAGTGTCATTGAGCCATGAACAGCATGCTCCCTTGACACTTGTGCCAATGCAGGGTGAGCAAAGCATCTTTTGTTGTTTCTTGTGGAGGGATCCTCGTGCGATGCAATTTGGTATTCTCCATCTACTCACCTGATTCATGTCAATAGCTTGAACAGCCTCTCCACGTGTGAAGATGATCGCATGATTCTGGTTTTCTGGCTTTCCTTCTCCAAGCACGACCTTACCCGGCAACTTGATCCGATAGACTTCCTGTTCACAAACCACATCAGGTAAGAGCTTTGAGGTCACTCGTAACAAAAATGGAACTGCTCGTCTATTCCACCTAAACTAGAGAGAGATTTGAGAGCAGATTCTTCTTACTGATAAACCCACACAGTTGAAACCCAAACCCCCAAACCCAAAGGTATCTGTTACCTACCATTAGGATCGAACAGGGAAACGACGTCTTTTAAACAATAGTAAATGAAACAGACCCTTTTCCAGTAAATGAAACAGACCCTTTTCCAAGAAATGAAACAGACCCTTTTCCTCACTTGTGAGGCTCTGTAACTCGACCTTCCCATCCATGCTCCACACGACAGATTCATCTACTGATTGCAAACAGTTGTCAATGACATAAAAGTCCTAAGACAGAAGTAGGCCTTGAGATCTGCTCTTTAATTTCAGTCAGCCCCTCCTCTTTCCCATCTGCTACCATTTCCTTCAGCTTAACCAGACCTGCATCTGTTTGCACCAATCTAACTGGCCGTATGTCTGTATAGAGACTATGCACTGCGTACACGTGTCATGAGACTGACTTTGCTATGTACAGACTTGTCCCCAGGTCTTCTTTTTTCCCCTTTCCTTTTTTCCTTTTTGAAAAAGGAACAGCCGTGAGATATCATTATCAAGCTGCGCGGCCCTAGGTAGTTCAGAATTGTAGTATTTTACTCATTTGCTCTCAGTGCAGTTCGAACTCAGGTCTGTATTACTTGGCCCCAGGTCGATAGCCACCTGCTCTGGGTTCTGGCCATTACAGAACAGGCTGGCCTCGCCCATTGCAGGAAAGACTGGAGAAAACCAGGCAGTATGGCATGTAGAACCATCACCCGAGACAAAAAGAAAAGAGTGATCACCCCAGAAGAATGTGTAGCAAACGAGCAGGATATCGGTTGCTGCTCAATGCTCATTTGCTGCACATATGCCTCAAGTTCACCAGCGGAGACTGTTGGCTTGGGCCTCCTGGACGGTTGTCGAAGTAATTGGTTCTTTCCAGCCTGTGCCAGGTGTTAGGAGCTTGGGTACTGCACCCCGCACAGAGCAGAGATAGGTAGGCATAGACCCGTAACCTTAGGATAGCTTATATGAAAGGATCCACCTTCCTAAGCCTGCCGTGATTAGATCCCGGGACCTGTTGCTGTTGTTGTTGCCTTTCAGCTTGTATGCTTGTGCGATGCTGCTGGAGTTTGAACCTGGGACCTGATGTTGACTTACCTCTGCCCTTATCTGTTGCTATACCCTCTTGTAAGTGTTGAGTCTGCTGGTGGAGCCTTGAACCTGAGACCTGCTCTTACGCGAACGTAAAGTCAATGCTTAGTACCATTTGTGCAGTAAGTGTGCCTCCAGCAAGTATCCAGAGGCTTCCAAGGGCAACAGGGGACCTGTCTCCGGGAAAACAAAAGTGCAGAATTCGTTTTTTGGGGGATTCATTCTGTGTGGTGCTGATTCGTGAAATCAAGCAGTGCGCTGTGTGGTGGAGAAGGCTGCCATAGCTGAAGAAGTAGGGCTATCGTGTTGCCATCTGTTAGTTCTTGTTTCCTGTTATTTTTGCAGTGGGATCGCGCTGTTGTGTCGAGTGCTCGTAGGAGAGAGTTTTAACTCGGTGGAGAGTGAGCCATCGAATAGGAGCACCACTTCTATGTTCAGGGAGAGATCCTTGGCAAGAGCAAGAGGAGAGGAGACATGTTTGTGAAGTGGAGTCTGCCATACAGGACGAATTCGTTGAATTCAGGTTGCATCTTGTAGCAACGAGTGGCATGGTCTGTGTTGTGGGAAGTTTCATTGCAGTTTCGAGGGAGAGATCTGCTATTTCGAAGTTGCAAGTGTATGACATATTTGTGGGTGAATTGTAGGGCGATTTTCAGGAGGAAGGCAAACTTGATCTCCTGTGCTTGATGTGATTGCCATCTCTGTACGCTCATTGGTTATGGAGGTTGCATGAATAAGGGTCTCCTTTCATATAGCTCTGGCCACTGAATTTAAGCTTCATCGCAACGTCCACAGGTAGGAGGTGTAGTCCTTAGCTGGTAGACTTAGGGGGTAGTATAGTTGGCCTCCTTCCATAGACTACCCTAAACCCTACTACATAGCTCGAGATAGGTAGTGAGAGATTGAAAAACAAATATTGAGAGAAGACCATAGCGTAGTAAATATGTAGCTGTCCCCCATATGAGGAGGAGGCAGCTTGCATTTTCCCTTTTTTTTATTATAAAGAAGGACAAAATGCAGCAAACGAGCACACACAAAACACTTGCAGACAGCGACAGTGGCTTTTGACAGGAATAGGTCATCAATAAAAGCGGATGCCAGTTGGAAATACCAATATACGAAGTTCTTCACTACCGACCTGATCCTGCTTAGTCCCCTGATCATACTTCACAAGTACGGAATATGGACTCTTCTCCTCACCATCAATGTAAGCGATTCGGAGTGAAGAATGTCTGTACGTAGACAAGTAGAAGCACCAACCAACAAGAAGACATAAGAAACATCATCAGAAGATTCAGAACAGTAATGCATGTGCGATGTGAGTGATCCTACAAATTCAGTTCAAGACGGGCACAAGCAGAGGCATCACCAAACATGCAAGTAGGAAGCCCTTCGTTGTCAAAGAATATCATAAGTCCATCTCCTATTGTTATGTTCTCAAGAGAAGAGGCTCCAACCGAGGAGTGGAAAAGCTCCCATGAAGTGGAAAAGTATGTTTCAGGGAAACACACTCCAAAGACTTGGGAACCAAGTTGCATTTTAACCAGTCAATTGAACCAGTGTATGTGGAAGCCATGCCAAAGCATTTGTGACCCATGGCCAACGATCGGCAACAGTTTCTTCTGAAATGGCGGCTACCTGCAAACCCACAGCCATTTGGAAAAAAGGATGTGACCGCCGATTACCAACAGTCAGATCTAAATCCCAAGTGGAGATTCATATGTCCCCATGCATAATGGACATTCGGAAGAATTGATGGAAATTCACGCAGGACCAATCTCGAAGATTTACATGAAATGGTATTCATCTGGGTTAAGCAGACGCCCGGTCCAGACGGAAGGGGGGGGGGGGTCCGTCCGGCAAAACCAGAGGAGCCAAAAAACGTCCCAGGAATTTTTTTTATTTTTTTTTTGAAGATGGCGTTGGAGTGCGCTTGCTGAGAGAAGCCCGAATCCGCAGAGGAGGAAGTAGAAGAAGGAGAAGAAGGAGAAGCAGGAGAAGCAGAAGAAGCAGGAGGAGGAGGAGAAGAAGGAAGAGGAGGAGAAGGAGGAGAAGGAGGAGAAGAAGAAGAAGAAGAAGAAGAAGAAGAAGAAGAAGAAGAAGGAGAAGAAGAAGAAGAAGAAGAAGAAGAAAGGAGAAGAAGAAGGAGAAGAAGAAGAAGAAGAAGAAGAAGAAGAAGAAGAAGAAGAAAGGAGAAGAAGAAGAAAGGAGAAGAAGAAGAAGAAAGAAGAA